GATGCCATTTTAGCACATCAGGAAAGGGTCACGAGAACGACACCACCACTGGGAACTTAAAGTCAGAAATGCTGCTTTTCAAACGACGCAAATAGCGATATAATAAATACTACATAAATATGCGTCTTGGTGATATGATGGTGTTTATCCATCAGCATTTAGCGACCAGTAAAACAATATTTCTCAAAATCTGGTCTCATCTGTGGACAAGAGATGGAATAAGCAATCGTCACATCTTTTCAGAAGGCGACCAGTAGTCTTTTACAAGCCCATATTAGCACTGAACGACAGTCGCGGTGTATCAACCGATCAGTGAACCGAGCCTCGCCTCTATTCTTTTCGAGGTTGATAAATGAATATCACTTTAATAACTGAGTGAGAAGGAAACAGGAAAACGCAGATTATGTTTATTACACAGTAATCGATTCTGCCTTTAAAAATAAAACACTCCTGACTGATGAAATAGAAGTGAAGATCAGCGCGCTCACTATTATGTTCATGAAATCAAGGGTGTTAGAAGTGGTCTCATAATGTAAAGGTAAAGAAGACAGACATTCCTACTGTTATAAACTGTTCTCTTTCATTTGTAGTTATCCTTTAGGCGAATGTGATGAAATATCAATAACAGATGTCGAAACTTCTGGATGCACAGCAAAACAAGGTTTGTACTGCTAGAAACATAATTTAACGTACTCATTTGAAATGCAATTCGGACAGTATATTTCCCATTCCCATCTTCAGCAATACTCGCGTTTATTACACGAACGAATTCGCCAACACAGCCAGGAAAAATTGCATACTGGTTCTCTATATTCTTACCCTGTCACTTGAGGAGGCGCAGACAGACATGTTTCCTGAACAAACTTATGTAAATAAACTTCATTATGTTTTTCAACTTCAGATTAGTGATATCATATGCAAAATAATCATCCTATCGATATTCGAATTATCTGGGGGCAAGCAAACAGCTGTGTTGATTTCGTTGCTCACTTCGCGTTACGCTGGTACTTGTTTAAAGCTATAGTTTGCGATGATTTTACTGAAGTGTACATAGTTTCAAGCCTGCTCAATCTGTTCCAGTTATGCACTGCATCATGAAAATAGCACAGAAATATTAATAAAGTTAAATTATTTCAGTTTTCAGTCGATAATGTGCCTCTAAAGCCATTTCACTGAGTAAATCATTAAAACAAAATATTAAACCATTGAGTTAATCGCTTTGTACGTTTGAAAAATCTTGAAATAAATTCGCAAGAGTCGAATGTCACCTGCGAAAAGGTGTTCAATGCACGCAAATTCTTTGCATTTCTGTAAAAGATTCATAGCTCATTTAAAATCATGGAATTAAGCGAAGGACTGTCAAAAAACACAAACAAGCTGGCAAAAATGACCATTAAATATGAAATGGTCAAAATCATGGAAAATTATTTATTTGTTAGAGCCTTTAGTGACTGAAACGGTATATCATCAGTATATCTCCTT